GTTTAAAGTGTCGTAAGTGAAACAATGGTTAGAGGACTGTTTAAAGTGTCTTAAGTGAAACAATGGTTAGAGGACTGTTTAAAGTGTCTTAAGTGAAACAATGGTTAGATGACTGTTTAAAGTGTTTTAAGTGAAACAATGGTTAGATGACTGTTTAAAGTGTCGTAAGTGAAACAATGGTTAGAGGACTGTTTAAAGTGTCATAAATCATTATTTTATTGGAGGTTTATGTGGATGAGACTATTTTCTAAGTCCCAGAACACGTCCTCAATTTTTGGAGGGTTTAGTAGCAAGTATAATAATATTAAATTTACTGTTTAACATCAGCAAAATAACAGACATTCATACTAGTGCATAATTCAAGGTATATTTGAATGTAATTTATCAGTTTTTATCTATCAACTGTGTTTAAAGAAAACTTTAAGATCTTCATTCATCATGAATATCAAAAACAAATTTTTGCTAAGAGTTTGACACCAATAGTTTTCTAATTTGTTTGATTGATTGTATAATTTATGACTATTTGAACTAACCTCACATTTTATATTTAACTGAAGTAAATAAATTTTGTAATATCAAGCTTGACCAACAAAGATGCATAAAAGTTCAGTCGAGAAAGTCAAACATGAACCAAACAAAATTAAGATGATTCATGAAATGAATTTGTGCATATTCTTAGAATAATTATTGATAAAAATCAGTTAGATTAACAACTTCTAATATATAGAAAAGCCAGTGTGTTTTGGTAACACTACCTTAAACACTTTTATGTCATGTTGCTCAGCAAAAAAAGTATATCCTAATATTGTTGTTAGTCTATATACTGAAAGTATGAAATGAATAGTGTAGACAACAAAACTGGAAAAATATTTGTTGATTTCTTAATTTAGAGTCTCTATTAATTAAAGGTTTATTTTTATTAAAAATGTTGGTGATGTAACAGAAAATAGCTTAATTCAGAAGGGATTTAAGTTTAAAAATAAATCAATATTTTTTACTTTCATGATAAATTTTATGAACTTGGCTTTAGGCTACGTGATCCCACACTACATCTTTACTTTAGGCTTATTATACCAACACTCACTACACTTATAAGGCTTCATGACACACACCCTCACTAAAATCATAATGGGCAGACAGTAATCGAACTTTTCTATCAGGATAAATGCATTTTGGCTTTTATGACTCATCCTATTTTGAGAAATCAAGCGTGACGTGATGCGACACACACACTAACTTTTATATAGGTTAAATGTCAGTGATATTGACCACCAAATACTAGAGCACCATAGTTTTTAAATTGTCTGATGATCCTAAATGGCTGAGCAAGTCCTATTCTTTGAGAAATGACTCCTTAATGCTTAGACCTTTGTTTTTTACTTACTTACATTAATAAGAGCATAAATAGTAAATTATAGTGAAGTTTGCTGATGACATTAAACCATTGGGTATTTCTAGCTGTATTGAAGATTTTTGATAAAAATCACTTGGGTCAATTAGTAAGTTACATAAATATTTAACAGATTACCTTTAATTATAATAAATGCATTTAGGTCATCATAATTTGGAGTACACATATAATGGCAAATCACTGAAGAAAAGGACCTTGGCATAGTGGTAGATTAAATTCTCAAGCCATCAATGAAATGATTTGTTACTAGTGGTAAAGCTAATAGAATTTTAGGGTATATTTATAGAGATCCTAATTACAAATAAAGAAGATGTAATTATATCTGTACAAATCACTAGTTAGGCTTCATTTCAAATATTGTGTACTTTTTTGGGGGGTCTCCTTATCTAAGGAATAATACAAACTGATTGGAAGGAGTTCTGGGTAACAGGTGATCATACTGAAGGATATCAGGGAGATGAAAGGTTAAAGGCCACTAATTTCTTTGTGCTGTATTCTGAAGATAATGACACAAGAGGATACAGTTCAATATTTTGAAAAGTCAAGCTAGGCTATAGTTTTTCTAACAGGGCGATAATCTTATCGAGTTAGTTGCCACAGGCAGCAGTGATGGCTGACACTTTAAAAAGGTTTAAGAGGGAAATCAACCATTTCCTGTAAAATTAAAGGATGATTTTAAATGTTTATTTTTCTCAAAGATTGGTGTGCAAGAACAGCCTTGAAGAATTAAATGGTCCCTTGTTATCCATATCTTATGTTTCAAGGTGGCCACAGCACAGTACAAAAATCAGGTGACAAATAAAAAGATCCAAGGTCAACAGTATGAAGCATTGTAATACAGCAAAAGGGGTACCGTAGAAACAAACAAAATAGGCAACAGTAACCTCAATAAAAGAAGTTCTTTTATCCTTATACATTCATTGGGTGGGACTTCTCTGTCAGTATGTCATGAGGGGGGAGGGCTTGAAGTAAGAAAGTTAGAGAACCTCTTCATTAACAAATAGTACTGTCTTCCTGCTACGGTCATGTAACAATAACTGATACGAGATATCAAAATTTGGATAACTTAAACACTACAGTAAGACACATTACTGGTAATACTATCTAGACTGTGTTTTTACCTTATTTTGTAGATTGCTTCTGATGTCCTTGAGTTTAGTACAAACTTCATCAAAATCAAATGTAGTAGTCGTACTGCTACTAGTAGTAGTAATGTTAGTGGTCACTTGTTCCTCCATTCCTCATCTTCTATAACTCACAGGCAACAGCTGCATGATAACATATATATATATAATTATACACCCTAAATTACAAAATCGGAAAACAGAATAATCCCGTTCAAATTTTAAAGTCGAGTTAGTACTATTGGTATTACTATTACCGAGTAATACTAGTGCTAGTAAATAATTTAAATCTCCCCAATGTAACGATCCTTTCCAACCAAGTTCAACAGCAATTAGAATATTTCAAACTTAAATAACTCATTTTGCATATAAATACTACAATATAATGATACTATAAATTAGAACATAAAACTAAGTACCATTTGTATTAGTATAGCCATAACTTACAAGTATTACTAATAGTACTAGTAACACTAACGCTCAGTATTAGTTACTAAATTTGTTATTGGAAAAGTAAAAAAACTGAAAACTGATTTCACAAAGTGTTTACTCTGTAATATATTGTGTATAAAAATAACAAACTCGGACTAATTACTTTATCCCCGACCTTTTCACATATTTACACAACTTTCTCATACATTACTACATTCACAAACCCATACCCCCCATTCAAAGTTCGCGTTGAATAATTAATTATATACCGCTAGGCGTATATGTTAAACATATGTGGGGACCATTGGTTAATAAAAAAATACGTGCTGTAAATGAACAATAACGTTTCAGACGTGAATTTAATGTTCACTTTCCTTTTAAAAATAAGTAAAAGAATATTTTAACGATAATTAATTTAATCGCATTCTTTAAAAAACGACGATAACAACAAATAATCCTTCTCTATGAAATTTTCAACTTTATATAAGTTAAAACAATAACAAATGTTTGTTTGTTTGAAGTTAAGCACAAAGCAACACAATGGACTATCTGTGCTCTGCCCACCACGGGTATCGAAACCCGAATTCGAGCAT